TATATATATATAACCCAAATAATTTAATAAAACAAATGCAATTATTTGAATTTTGTGTCATTTTTGTTACAATCCAATATTTTTTTGTAACTGAAAGTTAATAATGGTTAATTAAAATATTTTTATATTCTTAATTATTCTATTATATAATAGTTATTAATAAAACTAACTAATCCCCCCTATATATTAATCCAGAACGCGCTGAGCCTACGTGGCTGTTTCTGGTGCTTCGGAATCATATGTGGCAAAATTACATGCTTCGTTATTAGGCTTGGGTAAATTTTAATTTAATTCCAAACCAAAAATAATTAGGTTCGGATTACCATAAATATGTTGATTATTTATGGTCATGTTACATGTATTAATTAATTGCATTTTAATATCATTCCTTATTATAACTATTGAGTTATATATATATATTAAAAGTTAATAACTTTTATATTTTTTATCAATTTTACATATGTAATATATCAAATTAATCTTCTTTTGATGAGCTTCGATTTAACATCCATATTGTATGTATAAAAAAAAAATTTATATTTATCTTTATAACAATAATAATATTATTTTTAATATTAATTAGAAAAATAAAATTATTTATCAACTAATATATATATATACATATATTTCAAGTAGTTATATGATATAAGTTATAAAAACTAATATAATATAACACATGTAAGTCATAAGTAACACATATCATTCTAAAATATATAGTAATATATTTTTTTGTAAGAAAGTAAACTAAATTTAATATAGTTTTCTCATTAATTTTAAAATTTAATAATAAATTTTTAACAAGCACTCGTGTAATACACAGGTGTTGTACTAGTTATAATTCATACTAAATGATATATGGAAGTTCAATAAGTATACGAAATTATATTGCAAAATATTTTCTTAAACTTCTTATTGTTGTTAAGCATTTTTTCAATAAGCTAATTTGGCATTAGTGGTATAACCAAACCTATTAAAATTTCATAAATAATAATAATAATAATAATAATTAGGGGAGTTGCACACGGATGCCGTTGCCCTACTCAAGAGGATACAGAAGTTTTCGGTATCTCAGGATGTGGGGGCGCGTGCTGCTCTTCATATTTTCACTCGTCTTAGCTTTTCCATTGCAAAAGGAGTGGGGGCCCAGATAGTATCTCGGCTCCCCTCCAATTTCTTGTAATTCTTTTGATCCGATAATAATTATTATATTATTATTATTAAAAAAAAAAAATAATAATAATAATAATAATAATAATAATAATTTTAAATATAATTAATAGGTCATGATCCCTCATGTATATAAAAACTACATTATCTCTTTTATTTTATGCAATCAATGTAGTGATGAAGTTGAATACTCCTATATTCATTTTCATTAATGATAAATTTTTTATAATGTGATGCTATATATTATCTAACTTATAGTTTTAATATTATACATACATGTAACTTATAATAATTTAAATATCCGTGCATGTGCACAGAATCGATTACTAGTTATTTAAGAAATTGCTAATCGCAGCATTTAAAAATAAATTGTTGTGGCTTTTTCAAGTGACTTATCAACTAACTATCAAACACTTATTATAAGAGCTAATTTTCAACCATCATCTATTAGCTATAAACTTGAAATTAACCAATGAATTATCATACTGCTACCCAAGCTTCAAAGAAGCTTTTGCTTGTTCTATGGCTTGATACAACAATATATGAGTTAGAAAAGAAATTTTCTACTCATTCTTTGTTTTGGTAGGAGGATGAGAAAGTGTTGGAGATAAAACTCTAGCATTAGTTATATAAACCAAAAAACAATTTCAATCACATTCGCAATTACAAGTCCTGAAATTTCTCTATGGTTTGCACATTGGTTTAACATGCTTTTTCTCTTAATATTATCAAATCATTCAACGATTTTAGAGTCTAATGGGTCTGCTAGCAGGTGTAGGTCACTCGTCAGAGGTCCTTCATGGGACCCTGATCCGAGCTCGACAGATTTGCATCTCAGCAAGAACAATGTTCTGCGCAGGTCATACGAAACAGAGGTTTTGAAAAAACAAACACACCGCAAACTCAACAAAAACCATATTAGTTTAAACCGAGCTAATCAGACACGCTGCTTGTTTTATATGGAAATTCACACACACGAACATTTAACAACACATGTCAAAATATCCAGCAGCATTATGACCACGCAATCGTTCATTAAAACTACGAATAATCGAATAAGTAAACACAACAAATCAAAGCTTCGACAATAAACAGTCAAATGAATGATTTGCCAGCAAGTGTAGAGGTCATATATAACCCTCTCTTGTGTCAGATAATATAATCATCTTCCTGCTTATCCAAATATAAAAAGCAAAGATACTCCAAAAATAGATGACAATCGTCACAACAGCATTTGACATATTAATATATCCTACTAACGACCGAGAATGTTGGATTATATGTTCATACCAAGCTTATCGATACAAATCGTACAACCACAAAGTCACGAGGTTAATTTTCAGGGGCATAATGCAAGTAACTCAGTCAATCGATGAGTTGAGGGAGGAGGATAATGCAAATTCATAAATAGTTACTCATAAAGCAAACAATTCAGGGAAACTAAAATAACCAAAAATAGAAAATGAACAGTCAACTAAACAAAGAGTATCACTTTCGAGGTTCCTTCTGTTTTTATTAGTTCAAAACTAATCAGTCCGCTATTCAAGCTTTGTTGCTATCGGCAGCATTTCGAACGGTTTTCAAGTATTACAATAGGAAACGACCCAACATTTTAGAATAGGAAATACGATTAACCACAAGATTGAAAAGAAAGAACAACACGGAGAGATTGAACTGTACACCAAGTAGAACAATCATAGCAAATCACATTGCCTATAAGTCGAATCAATAGAGTCGGATTCATATTCTTATTCTTATACCCATAATTCAACATTTAAATTAAACAACACAGCAAAATCCACCAGATAGGAGCTAATAAATAGTATTACCAAAAAACAGGGAAAGAAACATTTCTAAAAATATCACCTCAAATCCCTATATGGCACTGTTGTGGGCGGCCGATCAACTCTCCCGGCCTCCCATTGCTCGGAATCCCCACAATCAAATCTCCACAGAACACCTTCAGAAACCTTCTCCTGGCCCTCCAAGCCTTGGCCTCGAACCTAACGCTAGAAAGCATCCTCAGATTGAAATTCACGTTCCCACTCCTCGACCTGTCTCTGTTGATCTCGTCCGCCACCGGCTGGTCAACGAAGCTCCCCGCGGCAGCGAAATTAGCTGTCAAGGAGGTCTCGTTCCTCGTGTCCTGCCAGAACGGCGGGACCGTCGTCTCCGACAGAGACTCCGACTTGTAGAAGATCTCGGCCACGATGTGGTCGTACGAGAGCCTCATCTTCTTGTTAGGGTTCCGCGCGGTTAGGCGGATCTCGGAGGTGAAAGAGACGAGCGAGTTGTTGCCGAGCGTGAAATTGGAGATCGAGAACGAGTCGACCCGGAACTCGGGGAGCTGGGAGCGGAGGACGAGCCAGACGATGAAGGTGATGGTGCCCAGGATGACGACGAGGCCGATCACGAAGGCGAAGATGCGGCGGAGGCAGGTGGCGCGTTGGGCGGACTCCGAGTCGTACTGGTAGCCCTGAGGGTAGTAAGGGTTGCTCGGGTAGTTGTAATAGGAGTTTGACGGCGGCGGGCCGGCGGCGTAGGGGTAGGCGGCGGGTCGCGCCTGCGGATGGGGTGGGTAGCCGCTGGTTTGGGCGCTCGGCGGGGCAGGGTAGCCCGTAACCGGGCGGTTCGGGTCTTCCGTGTTTGACATCCCGGCGGTGTTCGCGTCGGAAAATCAACGAAGTTCACACGCACTTAGTGAGGGAAGCAGAGATGGGGGTTAGTTATTGGCGCGGTGAGACTCTCACTGAACATCAAATTGATGAAATTTGTTCGCTCTATCTCTGACGCCGACCCAGCAATATCTCTTTCTTGGGTGAAAGGGAAACGGAATATGTATTTTCCTTTTCTTTTTGGTTTTTGGAGGGTTTATTCTATCAACCACTTTCTTGCAAAAGTAGATGTTTTATCCCTGTGATATTGACCGAGGCGCGTATGGGTATTTTTTTTTTTTTCCAACAACAAACAAGCAATATATTAAAACTCAAATGATAAGTTCATACATCGATTACCCAAATAGATACAAGCAATGCAGCACCCCCATACAAATGAGATTACTACAAGCTACGAGAAACCCAACTTAGGCTCTCTGAAAGGCTTCTATGGCCAAAGACAAAGAAAAAGAACATGCAAACCTATCACAAAAGAAATTACAACTATCCAATCTCTCAGCCATTAGATTAATATCAGTTACAAGGACTCTTACTCCCCAATCTGCCTCAAGCTGCTTGTTAATAAGCTGGACAATAGACACTGAATCCACCCTGCAGCATAGTGAAGTAATTGTCCTTGTTTGTTGAATTTTATGTAGCATCCATCTAACAGCCCTAAGAGTAGCTTCCTCAGAAGATTGAGCTTTCTCACAGCAGTCATTCCACTTGAACAGGATTTGCCCATCCCTTTCCCCCACAGCACCAAACCCCACAAAACCATTTGGAAACAAGCAAGCACTGACAGAAATCAAACTCTGTCCTACTCCACTTCCATTAGCTTGTGGAGCCTTAAGTTCAGCTGTCAAACTGTTGCCTTTATCAATGCTAATACCATTTTTTGAAGATGCTAGCTCAAATTCAGTCCATTCCCTCCAAGCACCATCCACTATGTCTCTTTCAGTAACTTTGGATTTAGAAAACAGCCAAGAATTTCTAGTCCTCCACAACCACCACAGCAGGTAGGTTGAGAGGCTCATTCTGTCTTGCATATAATTATCTGCTGAACCAGAACACAAATCATACCACCAATCCTGAAAAGATATTCTGTCCATATCAAAATGAATCCAATGCAACCCAAACAGTTTCCAACAGTTCACAGCTCTTTGACATTTGAATAAAATATGCTCCAAGTCTTCATTTTCTTTTCCACAGATACAACATATACTATCCACATTCACCCTTTTTTTCAACAACTGTGCATTAGTGTTTAGAAATCCATACCAGCATCTCCAAAGGAAGTTTTTAACTTTAGGTTTCACCTTGAGCTTCCATGTTCTGGCCCACATTTTTTGCATTTTTTTGTCATCTGATGAAAAAGGTGCAGCCATCTGGTTGTTGTGATAATGCTGAAGCAGGATCTTGTATACTTCCTTCACAACAAACATTCCTTTAGGATTCCAATGCCACACCAGCCTGTCATGGGCACTTGCACTACTAATGGGGATAGAAAGAA